TTAAAACAACCTATATTTATTTGGTTGAAATATGCTCAATTTGACAGTTTCAATTTTAGTCATTTTATAACTTTTGAATATAGGTTGGAATTACCTTTTTTAATTGGTCAAAATAACCATAAATCTTTAGTTCAATCAACCAATAATTAATACGTTAAAATGACATATTACAGATTTATAGGTTAAAGTAACCATTTTCGATGGTTTGTTTTAACCTATTTAATTTTAGTTGTTTTAACCTATTAAAACAACCTATTTCTTATGGGTATAAACCAACCCATTTTTAATGGTTTGTTTTAACCTATTTAATTTTGGTTCTTTTAACCTATTGAAATAACCTATTTTTATCGGGTTGTCCTAGACCAAACCAAATAACCTATTTTTTTTGGTTATTTTAACCTATCAGTTTTTACAATGTAACCATATAAAAAGCAATGTATGTCAACTAATTTCAGTTCCTTGTTCAATTTATTGCTCTTCCTTCCCTACTCTTTGTTGTCCAGCTTGAATTTTATTGCTTTTATAATGTCTTCTTTGTGGGCAAATAAATATCATGACGGGCAAGTAAACGTTTTATCTTGCTTGGCCGATTGAGCTAGTTTCCATGCCACAAAAAGCTGCCAGGCATGTTTTCATTGTCAGATACATTTTTTATAGTGCATGAACTTGATTCAATTTTTGTTTTTTGTGGGCCAAAGCTAGGATTTGATCGAGGCAGTATAATATATAGCCATATTAACGAATCAACATGTTGTCCCCGTGGCCATTGTCCAATGGCAAGTGAATTTTTATATTCAAGGCAACTAATTTTCCTGTCCTACTTGCCCCGAGAGTGAGAGCTGGCAAGTGGTAAAAATAGTGAAGTTACACCACTGTTATATATATATGAATGAATATTAGAATCGTATGAAAATAGCAGTTGATATATGTCAACAAATTCTCTCAAATCATGTTTAGCTGAGGTTTACCTATGTAGGCATATGATGAGGATTGAGTAAATGCCAATTAAGCTACATTATTCTATACAAGGTTCACTGTTTAAATTAATACAATCTGTCATATACACAGCTATACCATGCATTTGGCATTACAACTGTGTCAAATGTTATCGTAATAATGCAAATATTGTCGCGGCAAATTCAAATATATTTAAGCCAGGTCACATGCTCAAAATTCAGGAATGATGATGGTAAATATTTCGTTTCAAAATTGCTCTATTATATAGAAAACTTAACACAATTCTTTTTGCAGTCATTCCTGGTATTCCATGTTCGTTAAAATACGTTATTTTCATTTAAAATACTCATCTTTCACGCTGATAAATTAACTCAAATGAAAATTTCAAAAATATGGCGGTCTGATTGAATGACGCTATTCCAGAAAGCTTTGCGCATGTTATAGGAAAATTAGGCACCAGGCTGTCAAACCGCGCTCATCGTGAGAATTTAATTAATTCGTGCCAAATTATAAACGTAAGTAGGTCAAAATTGGGGAAAATAACTTCAAAAAGAAGGCAGATACAATATTGTAGTTGAAAATAAAATAATTATGTAAAAGTAATGAGGAATTTTAACATAATAGGAAATGTTTTTTCGTCGACCCGATGAACTCATGCAGAATTTAAAATTAACTCAAACTTTGAAATTTTGACCAGTTAAATAAATATAATATTTTGACCAATTAATATTAATTAAATGTCAAAAATACAAATTTAATTGCGACCTAAAAAAATTGGTTGTTTCAACCAATCAGTTTTTACAGCGAGGTAACTGGATTATGTATGATCCTCAAAATAGAATATATAGTGGTGAAGTCGGGCTGACAATTTGTTCGTGCTACATAAATATTTCCGTGAAAACAATAAACTTCTAAAGAAACGAATATATGATATTTATTTAAAATTTGCATGGCATGACCAAATTGTCGGGCTGGCTTGTCCACAGGGCCACAGGCACTACTTTGTAATTATGGAAACTAAAGTGTATTTTTAAAAAAAACTATAACAAAACTATAGTTTTCATAGAACTATGGTGTATTGGTAAAAACTATAGTTTTCATAAAACTATATATAGTCCTTTAGTTATGAAAACTATGATAGTTTACTGGTACAGAACTATAGTTCTCATAGAAATATATTGTATATTGGTAAAACCATAGTTTTCATAAAATTATAGTGTATTGGTAAAGAACTATAGTTTTTATAAAATTATAGTGTATTGGTAAAGAACTATAGTTTTCATAGAACTATATTGTATTGGTAAAAACCATAGTTTGCATGTCATAAAACTATTAATAGTGTATTGGTAAAGAACTATAGTTTTCATAAAACTATAGTGTATCGGTAAAGAACTATAGTTTTCGTAAAACTATGGTGTATTGGTAAAGAACTATAGTTTTCATAAAACTATAGTGTATTCGAAAAGAAGTATAGTTTTCATAAAATTATAGTGTATTGGTAAAGAACTATAGTTTTCATAAAACTATAGTCCTTTATTTATGAAACTAAAACATATGCTAGTGGTAAAAACTATAGTTGTCTAAACTCAACTATAGTTTTCAAAAAACTATAGTTCCCTTGGGTTATAAAACTATAGTTTATTGGAAAAAACTATAGTTATTTTGAAGTTAACTATAGTTTTTTTTGGAAACTATAGTATTCTACCAAAAACTATAGTTTTTCACCAAAAACTATAGTTTTTCTCAAAAAAAACTATAGTTTTTGGTGAAAAACTATAGTTTATTTTTGTAAGGAAATTTAACATGCTTAGAATATATCACGTATTGTAGTAGTTCAATCTGTATGACACATTGACAACAAGCGCCAAAGTTCGATCAGCAAGCATTCAAAGAGCAAGATTTCTACTCAAATTTTCTATTATAAAGTTCGAAAGACCTAATAAAATACATGGAATTTGAAAGGTATGTCTATTGTGTATGTACTCATTTGTATGCGGATATTTACTAGACATACTGTAGTTATATTTTCATTAAAATCGAAGGTCTGTATTTTATATTAGTCGCTTCGCCGCCGATTCAGTTCACTGAAGGCATCTAGACGTTCAGTTGTAAATTTTCGATTAATTTCTATTAGCAGAAGTCTATAAATCTAATCTACAGTCTCCACGTTTATGTGCTGTTAAGAAAATCGTATAGCTTATTTGTGTGACATACATTTGTATGTTGTAATTTTCTGTTAAATATTTGCTATAAAGAAGATGCTTGTGATGTTACTCTGAGCTAGTGTATATCCACACCGGGAAAGCTTGAAAAATATGCCTGTCCACGGTGGGAAACGAACCTACGACCTTTGGAATACTAGCCCAATGCTCTGCCAACTGAGCTACGTGGTTAGGGAGTGGTCATTATTTATGGGGAGGGGGGTTGGGAAATGGGGGGGGCAAACGAAGTTTTACCCTTATAAATAGGGGGGTCAAAAAAGTTTTAACACAGAGAAGGGGGGGGTCATAAAAGTTTTTGATTTCTATAATCACAAATAGCAAAAAAGAAGACTCTGAAAATGCTATTTCCAACGATCTAGAGACTCAAAACGTTCAAAATTTTCCTGCTCGGCGCCAAACCATGGTGGCGCCTCGCGACCGTTGAGCCCACTAAGTTTAACAAGCTTTCTACTCCCTGAGTTACCCAGTTGTGGTATTTACATAAACATACCATGCAAGTACACTTAACTGATCAGATTCGGTCTATCAACACACAATGTAACGCTGTATATCCAAAAATCTGTTTCAGAAAATGCTCAGAGGAAAGTGCTCACATTTCTAGGGGTGGAAAAATAAAAAGAAATTTCTGGGGGAGAATACCCCAGACCCCCCTACTAGTACATACGATACCACACCAAACTTTACATACATGTCCAATACCTATGCAAGATGTCCAATGGAATAATCAAAAGGCCATTGGACATTCCATTTGTCAAATGGATCAAATAGATCTCCAATTTTCCATTGCACTTTTGCGTGTCCATTGGATCCAATGGACAAATGGAATGTCCATTGGCCAGCAATGGATCAACTATCGGAACTATGCATCACCCGAATAACAGACCATGTGAAGGTAGCCGATCGGAACAATGCATCAACCGGATAAGAGCTTCCGCGTTTTTACCTTTACGTAATTAACAGGTTGCAAGACTCCATGTGGACATGATTATGAAACCAGAGAGATGTTCCAATGGTCCAATGGATCCAATGGATCCAATGGACCAATTATTGTCCAATGGAATTTTACCTGTCCATTGGATCCAATGGACAAGATAGCCTTTCCATTGGAAAATTACCTGTCAATTGGTCCAATGGGAAAATAATATGGAAGTCAATAGACATTTCTTATATCAATAATATAACAATATGTTATTGCTTCGTTCTTAAAAACTCACGCAATATATCATATAGCAATATATAAGGCCACTCCAAATTAGACTTTAGTTTCCCGTCCGGACCTTTTTGGGAATTAGACGCGGGCGGGCGGTCCATTTCCATTATCCATTATCAGTTTTTGAAGGAATTTGGTATAGCCCATTTTTTTCATATTCACAATTTTAATATATAAAACATGCTTTAATAACTTCGGCTACCTTTCCACGTAATGTTTTACAGTTTTATATTAAAAAATGGAAGCTAGCAGAGCTGGATTATAAACTAAATAGTCAGATATAGATAGACGTTTAAAAATTTAAAAACAAAACATGTAACAGATTTTGCGTACAGACGCTTTGTATGTAAATGGAACTTTTTACAACTCTCACAACTGTAACTACAGTATGTTAATTTCCAGGCAAGTCCATTGATGTCGAATCGGTTGCTTAATTTAAATATATTATTTACAGACGTCAAACTAGAATACCAAACACATATTGTGCGAGTTTCTTTCCGTGTATCATGTATTAATACTAAAACTTAACTCAAAAAATATCTAGAAATATGAACTATGCCTCCAAAATGGCTAGTGTATAGTTAATTAACTGAGTAATTTATTAAGAAAATTCATTTCTTCTTCTTCTTGGCATTTGGAATCTTGGGCTTCGCAGAGCAACCGTCACACTGAGGATAATATTCCTCCAAGTCACTCCACGGAGCAACATCATCACCCGAACAGTGGACACAAATGTCTTCAAACTTAGCTGAGTAATACAGCTTCTCGACTGGCTGTTCGCAACCCATCCGGCGTACAAAAACAGTATCTTTAAGATGCTCCGGAATGTCAGCATCTTGCAACTGTGCCCCACAAGAAAAAGACATGCCATCTAGTGCACGCTGGATATTTGTCTTTTCCACTTGCTTTAACTTTCGCTTCGAATAGACCAGCCTCCACATTGAGCATTCTTCACACAGTAGCATCATCTGCGTATTCTTAACATGCTGGACACTAGGGTAAAACGGTAAGGCCTTCTCTTTTGAATTGGCTTTCGATGGACGATCGTCTTCCGTGGTTGTTGTCCCGAAGACCTCACCAAATGGTTTATAGTGACCATCGTTACCAGGAACAGGGTCAGGCAAATGCCGTAGCTTCGCAAATTCAGCTCCCGGGAGTCTAGGAGCGGGGCATGTAGAACACTCTGGATTTCCACATTTAAGGATGTCAAAAAAGTAGTGCCTCTCTCTGCAGCAGTGTAAAAGGAATTCTTTTACACCTTGGGTGACGTTTGTCGTATTCACTTTCTCGTCATGACCCAAATGGAATTCTTCGTCAAGAGCAGATAACGACGTCCAAAATTCATCGAGCTCATCCTCAGTTGCAGCGGTAAACACCTCGAACTTCTTTTCTTTCAACTCCAGACGACGAACAACATCACTGAGCAAAACCTTGACAGGAGTCAAGGCGTCCAAACAGGTATC